CCAGAGAGAGAGGGAGACACAGAATCGGAAACAGGCTCCAGGCTCTGAGCCATCAGCCCAGAGCCCGACGCGGGGCTCGAACTCACGGACCGCGAGATCGTGACCTGGCTGAAGTCGGACGCTTAACCGACTGCGCCACCCAGGCACCCCTCATTTTCCTTTTAATGTCTTAATACATGTCAACATAATAAGGAAACTGTAACAAAAGACAAGTTCCTGCTGAGTGTAGTTCAAATCATTATTTATCAAGTACCTATTATGTGAGAGGAGCTGTACAGGCGGGCAAAAGAGCATTGTTTCATGCATGGTCTCTGATGATAGTTAAATTATGAGTATATTTCATTGCTGCTGGAAGACCAGAAAAAAAAAAAAAAAGGAAACAATATGAAGTCATGCATATTTATCTGTCTGGTGAAATTAAGTTTCTAGTTCCTAGCTTTCTCTTCAGACATTTAAAATTTTTTTTTTTTTTAAGTTTAGTTCAATTAGAGATCCACATCTGGGGATCTTAAATACATCTGCTGTTCTGATGGATTTAAAAATATTATTTTAATGTCTGCTGGCTGTGCTTGAGAGAAAGCCTATCTTTATACCTGTATTATCAAACAAAGAATCCTATGAAATGGTGGGGAGTGTATGAATGTCTAATAATTTAAGTTTTGAAGAACACATAGTTTTAATACCAAGATATAAGGCAATTTTGGACTTTAATATAAGATCTGTTTTTGCCCCAGGGAGTATTTAAAAAGCATCCCTTATTTTAATTTAAATTCTATTACAGTTTATATGAGTAGCACAGAGATTAGAATCTTTCAAGGTCTTTCAAAATATTGAACAAAAAAATAATAGGACACATACTATTAGCTCAAGAAAATTATGTCTGAATTCCAGAAGCAGTATGCAACTTGCATTATACTATCCTAGTCTGTAGCCTTCTGTCCCTGTAGAAGCTTAGAGGTTGCAAGTGTACCTATGAATTCACAAAACATTTTATTGTGATTATTTTATTGTGAATCATCAGCCAGTTATGAAATCCCTGTAGTTCTTGTAGCTCCAAAGTGATTTTTTTTTCTTACTATGGTTGCTTTTCCAGTCATCACAATGTTTTCTTAAAGTGTCTACATGAAGTCAGATATTGCATATCTGTATAGCAGTCTCCTTACATCCTCTCCTATGGACCATAGCTGTTTACAAAAAAGAAATAGAATATATATATATATATATATATATATATATATATATATATATAGTTTTATTATATATTTATTATATATTATATATAGTTATATATAGTTTCATTATATTATTTATAATATTATATATTATTTATAGAATAAAGAAACAGAATATATATACACATATGTGTGTGTGTGTGTGTGTGTGTGTGTGTATATATATATAAAGGATGCTTTGACATCTGTGTTGAAAGAATAAAACACATTCAAGGCTATTTCCAAATTACACTGAAGATACACTTGCTGGGAATATCAGGAATATATTCCAGAAGACATTAATAAGTAAGAGAATCTCCTGATTTTTCTGGCCATTTTCTGAGACCCTTTGGTCACCACCTAAATCCATATGCAACATGTAGAATTTTCACACTATTGCTTCAAAGACTCTTTGTATGACAGATTTTTCTAAAATTTTTGCCATCCCAAAGTCCTCTCGATACACCCCCTTTGGGTTAAAATAGAACTTTTAAGGTGGTAAACCCAAAAGTATGCATAGTGTTTCAGTGCAGTCTTCTCACTAAAGAGATTCATAGATAGTCCATATTTTACTGAATGATTCCAGTACTGTTTAGTTTATCTGAACTTCCTATAGCCTATTCCTGCATTCAGAGATACATATTACAAAATAATTGCTGTTACTCATCTAATATGAATCTTTATTCACATTGTTTTATTTTTTCAACGTTTTATTTATTTTTGGGACAGAGAGACACAGAGCATGAACGAGGGAGGGGCAGAGAGAGAGGGAGACACAGAATCGGAAACAGGCTCCAGGCTCTGAGCCATCAGCCCAGAGCCTGACACAGAGCTCGAACTCACGGACCGCGAGATCGTGACCTGGCTGAAGTCGGACGCTTAACCGACTGCGCCACCCAGGCGCCCCTATTCACATTGTTTTAGTTGAAATTCTTTGTGCTAGCTGTCCAATATCTTCTTGAATCCTAACCAAATATATATTCTTGGCTTCCAAGAGTCCTATGAGCTTGTGTCTTCATTCAAACTATTGAGAATCAGAATTAAGGACCAACCTTGGGTACACATTGTTAGAGACTGTCCTTTATTTAGCATTGATAATCAGTACTTTTCATGTTCCATCCTGGTATGGTTGATCTTTATTGAGCTCATATATTTTTATCCACTTGGAAATGAAGATTTTCTCTATTGCTTGGTTTATTTTTTTAATTATACGTCAAGTTTGGGATTTGTTGTTGCTCTTGAAACCTAATTTTGCAGTTTCAATGAAACAAATTTTATTCTCTGTATAAAAATACATTGTGTGTGTGTGTGTGTGTGTGTGTGTGTGTGTGTGTATGCATACATATCTTCTTACCTCTTTCATTTTAGTTCAAATTTTTCTTGTTCAAGTTCAGTGAGCCTTCAGCCAAGTACATTTTTTGCAGTTCCAGTTAGGTACACAATATCCCATTTGAAGAGCTCATTATTCTGCTCTGCTAAATCTTTCTAGGTAGGAAGCTCTTTGCTTCCTGAATCCTCTTTTCTTTTCAAAAGTCAAACCTACAGCTGGAAAAAAAGAAAGAATAGTTTTACGTCTCTGTGTCTGAGAGCTTTCTATTTAAGAACTTAAGGTGTACTGAAACATGTTCTGGATTTCTTTTTGTTTCCGATCATGTTTCTGACTGCATTTCCAATAATTATTCTGAAAGAGAGTATGCTTCCAGATTAAGAATCTAACGTGTACACTAGGCCAGAGCCATAAAAGGGGGTCCGCAACTACCATTGCATGTTATATCATTGTACACGTTATTAACCATGTTTATTGAAATCAGGGACCAGTGCCTTCCATCTCTTCTTTGGAGGCCAGCAGTGGGATTCTCAAACATGTTTCTGCCTGTGAACACTTAGTTCATACCTTTTCCTTAGACTAGGGAGCTGCACATGTAGGCAAGTTTATATTAATCATGATGCAACGTCCTACAGCTGAGAGGTGTGCTGCTTCAAAGCTCAGGTCTCTGGGCAAGGGCTTGTGACTGTTGTAATTATACAATACACATGATGCAATTTCTGCATTTTTTCTTTCTCATTCTCAACTTGCTTCAAAATAGACAATCGATAATTTTTTTTTCTTTTCCACTGGGTAAGAAAATCTTTTGTAATTTGTCATTGGATTATGTGTGCTCTTTAACAAACCTTCAGTTATGTATATGTGTGCACATAAATGATCATATGTGCATATGATTATAAAACCATATAATTCATGTGTTTTATTACATTGAATATTTGCAAAATGTGTTATCTTTCTACTGCATTAATTTGGCAATATAAAATCAAGAAAATATAACTGTAGGGTATTTTATCATGGCTATCTTAAACATACTCCTAGGTAATAGCATTTCAATTTCCAGAATTAAAAAAATAAATAAATAAATAAATAAATGAATCTTTAAGTGTAATTGTCTAACGATTCACTTACTTTTTACTGAATTAACTAAAATTAATTAATTAGTAATTAACTCGTAGGTGTACTTGCAGGTTAGATTCTCTGGAAGAAAGCTCTGACCTGGAGTTTAGAGGGCAGATTGTTTACTGCAGTTCGCAGTTGGGATCAACGTCTGTGGGGCAGTGGAAGGAAGCGGGTTGAGCAGCATGAGACATTGAGCTGCCGTGCAAATTTAATGCCTCGCAGTTGGCCCAATAGTAAAGCTCTGGAACTAAGCCTGCCTTTCACTATGTCTACATTCAATGGAAGTGGCTCCACCTTTAGAACCTTGAAGCAATGAGTCACTGATGATATGCTGCTCCAGAAGGATGCAACACAGGGTCCGGCGATAATGTGCAAGTAGGGCAGCTACTTATTCCATGCAGGGGGTCTGCACAGCACATCTAAGTGTGTGCCGGAAGGGTCTTTAGACCAACAAACCTGTTGGACTGAAGAATAAAGTACTGAGATAACCATATACTATGTGCACTTGAGAACATCAGTGTGATTGCAGGTGAATTGGTAAAAAGGCAGTGTGATGTTGTGGTTTGGGAATGTAGTGGGGTTGTATCCTGATTATTTACTAGCTCTATAACTTTGGGCAATTTATCCTCTGGGACTCAGTTTCTCTATTTTTTGATTATTATATACAGGAAAAATGATTTTTCCTAAAATATAAGACACTTAACATCTTCCCTCTATAATCTATAATCCAGAGTGACTATGCAAGCAATTAATGTAATAGAATTTTGAAAGCACATAAAAAGTAGAATTAACGATTTTATTCATCATTAACTTTCCATGGTGTGCTACTATATAACAAGAGTGCTTCACATCACAGCTAAATCTGAAAAAGTTTATTAATTGATCTGGTCTCTCCACAAATATATTATCTACACCAGTGGTCCTTGGGCTTTTTTGTACATTAACATCATCTGAATAGTTTGCTAATGCCTGTGTTGAGTCACCGAGTTTGGCGTGGGGACCACTGTCTCGTTTCAAAGTTTAGGACCCATTGGCTTGAATCTGTATTCTTTTAAGTCTTTTTGCCTTCATGTCCATGTCCAACATGATTGCTTCTTCATTCCCCTGTCTTCCACTCTTTCCCTTCTCTTTAAATTTTAGCTCAATTGATTTTCCAACTCGGTATCTCAATTTAAGAACATAGCTTAGTCACTCTATAAGGATCGCCCTTTCCTGTTCCTTTGTCCATTTCATAAACTAAATTAAAAAAAAAAAAAACATACCCATTTTATCCATTAAAGGAAATGTGAATCTTGACCGGCGGCTTTACTAAGTACATTTTGTTTTGCTTATGTCTGTCATAGATAACACAGCCAGCATTCTGACAAGGCGGAGGAGATTTAGTCGAACTATTCAGGATGTGTATTATCTCCCCATTATGATCTCTGATGGTGGAATCCCCTCTCTCAGCAGCAGCAGTACCCTCACCGTCAGGGTTTGTGCATGCGAGAGAGATGGGCGCGTGCGGACCTGCCATGCGGAAGCGTTCCTGTCCTCGGCTGGCTTGAGTACAGGCGCCCTAATCGCTATTCTGCTGTGTGTTGTCATTCTCCTAGGTAAGGTCACCCAACTCCTAATGTTGTGTGATGGCGATTCCGAATGTACCGTATGGTGGCCAGCAGTGCATTAGAAAGGAGAGACAAAGAAAATCACTTGGACGGGACTTAAAAATTAGGAACCCAAAATTTGGACCACAAAGCATAGCTGCACAGACTTCCTTTTAATTAACTTTCTCAATACCCGAGCTGATGGAGAGAGACTTGGATTGAAATGTGAGTGAAAGAGTTGAAATGTCAGAAGGAAAGATAGGTTCAGAGAGAAATCTTTTTGGAAAGGATCTATCTGGGAAATAATTGATATTTAAAATTCTAAATACCACATTGAAGGAGCTTTTACACTGTATTTCAAAGAACATAAGTGACATGATTCTCAGATGAATCTCAACACCGTATAAAAGTAGATTTCTTGTGGAAACTTCTATTAGCCTAAGATATTACTTAATCATCAATGTTAGCTGAATTTTAAAGTACAAAGTCTGAATCATTTTGGCGTTAACTATATTACATTTTATTAAGTTTAATAGGATTTTTAGTTGAGATTTGCATTACATTTCATCTTAATAAAAAATAAGATACTTCCTCTAATTTTATATATATATATATATATATATATAATCATTTTCATAGTCTAAGTCTAATCACAGCCACACTTGAAGCTATTACTGTAACCTCTTTAGAATCGCTATTTCAACAAGACCACAAATCCGATTTTTATAACAAGAGAAGTAGACATAAAGAATCCTTCTGTTTTGTTCAGAGGGTAGATATTTATTTTCCCAGCATATCCACTCCCTTCTTCCTTTCTCTTAGCATCTTTATCTTTTGCTCATTTTTCAGCACTGTGTACACGTGGGGCAAAATTTAAAAAAAAAAACAAAACTATATGGTTTGTGGAGACAGATGTTTTGTTTTGTTTTGCAAGGAGTGTTCCTTGTTTTGTTTTTGAGGTTAAAGATAAATCACCAGTATGGAAGGAGTAGAGAGCAAGGCAGAATGAGGCTGGGAAGTGGAATGGATGGTTAGGCAGCTGTGAGACAGTTTGGGGCTCCATTGAACATGGTAGATGGTAGGTTTTGTTCTCGGCGTGTCAAGAGACGTTTCAAGCAAGAGAATCCATTCATAACATTCGTATTTGGAAACGATGAGTATAAAGGAAGCAGAGAACAAGTCTCATGATGGCGTGAGAGCATGTAGGCAAAGCAATTAGGACAACAGTGCGGCTGTCTTGCTCAGCCCCCTTTGGACTAGCATAGTTAGAGCGCAGGTGAAGAGTAGTAGATAATATCAAGATGTTTTAGGTGAAATCAAAAGTGATCTTGGATAATATGATGCAGGTCCCCGGGTGAACATTTTTTATCAAAATCTTAACAGAATGATTAATGGAAGTGCCTAAGATTCATTTCAAAACTGCCACATGGAGAATTTCATGTCAGTGAGCTAATATCTAATGTTTATGACATAGTGTATTTTTTTAATTTTTTTTAAATTTAAGTTTATTTATTTATTTTGAGAGAGAGAGTGAAAGAGGCAGAGAGACAGAGAGAGAGAGAGAGAGAGAGAGAGAGAGAGAGAATATCCCAAGCAGGCTCCCCACCATCATTGTGGAACCCGATGTGCGGCTCAAACTCACATACAGTGAGAGCATGACCTGAGCCAAAATCAAGAGTTGGATGCTCAACCAACTGAGCCACTCAGGTGTAGTTTTCTTGAAACAAGTTTCCAAGGGCTAAAAATAAAAGAGCTGACAAAAAAGTGATCTTGGAGAGATTAGATAGATGTTGTCTGAGTTAGAAGAGGTTCAAAGAAGACTTTTCATCTCTTGCTGAATGTGGTTGCTGATCCTCACTGAGCTGAGGATCAGAAGTGCATGTTGTTGAGGTCACTACAGCAGGAGACTATAAAGAGAGAGAGATTATAAACTAGGCGGAGCTGTGACGAGCTCACGGTGGTCAGTGTCAAGAAGGATGTGATAGCAGTACAGAGGGAAGGGACGTTCAAAGAAGAAGGAGAAATAAGTGCAAAGTATAATGTCATCAAGGTCAAAGGAAAAAAATAACATATCAAAAAGCACAGACCATCCAACAGTATCAAAAGCTGCTCAGATATTAAATAAATTTTGTAGCTAAGTCTACCAATCGCACTTAGCAACAGGGAGCATTGAGGTTCATTGCACCACCGTGGAAGTGTTTCACTGTAGTATAGTCTTACACTAGATGCGTGGTAGAAAAGGAAAACAGGAAAACCAGGCTTTCTCAATTTTATTTACTTATATATTGATTGGTCACAACTGCTATTTGCTAAAGACATTTATGTATTGCTTTTTTTTTTTTTTGCATTTGATAATTGAAACAAAAACACACAAAGCCAAAATGGAAAATAAAATAAAATGAAATAAAATAAAATAAAACAAATACAAATATTGATTCCTCTATGGTTCCTAACCTAAACCACAAAGAATAGAACCCAGTAACTTTAGTATAATTTCCTCCAAAGTCCTTATTCTGAAAGATAGATCATTATCTATTATGATTATAGAGTCACATTATCTTTGCCTTTTGTTTTCACTTATTACCATAAAACCATCTTTGTATGCTAAGGTAAAGGCTTAAAAAGGTAATTGAAAATGTTAATATACAGGCAAATGTAAGGTATATTATGTAGAATAACATTTTATTTTTTCATGAAACAATACTTTCCTTTAATTGACTTTATGAAAATGTCGTTTCTCCTCTGGGGTAAATAAGAGAGCATTCTAAATTTTATGCTCTCCCTCAGGACTAATGGAACAAAGGTGTTATTTAATATGTTTACTCCTTCATTTTTTATTAAAATTCAAAAGTGTTTTTACAGTTGTATCCCAAGGTTGCAGAATAATTTCTTAAGTTTGGTGTAAGCAACTATTATTTATAATGTAATTTTAATTTTCATGATATTTTAAGGGTTTTTATTGTTATTCAGAAGATACCTAGTCAAGATACTTAGAATGTAGTCATTTTTAATTTTGAAATAATGTTGGCTAATGTACGAGCTTTGAATTTTCAAGGAAAATATCAGCTATACCAGAGGTAGTGAAACTTTATTTTAGAACTTTTTTTTTTATAATTCTGAAATAATGTTAAAAACTAACAGCTACACAAATGATGAAATTAATATATTAATAGTGAAATATGTTTTAGTTATTAGCTGTTTGTGGATATTACTTGTATAAACACAGTCCTGGTTTTGCCACTAATTAACCATATGATCTCGGGTAATCTGTACAGACTCTTGTTTCCATATACAAATATATAATAATAAAGCATCAATTAGAAAAGAACTTTAGAGTTCTATAAAATTTATGTTTTTGTATAGGATAAATATGATTCAGTATTTTGCAGTATGGTCAGACTCCACCTAAGTGTATATCAATTATCTGAAATTGGTGCTTGGAAACCAATGAAACTCTACTTGGAATGGTAGACGTGCAATTTTTCAGTTGGGTTATGTTCCGTCAAGATTACTGTTTAAGATCATTTTTAAACAGGATGAATGGGAGAGAATTTAGAGTGACCCTTTATGATGCACTCAGAATTTAGTTCTACAGGAAGGGATACCTGGAGTTCTCTTTCCCTTCCAGGGATCTGACATTTCTTTCCCAACCTCATCCAATCACATGTGAGAGGGTCCAGAGCCAGAGCAGGTGGTAGAGCAAACCTCAATCACACTTGGGACACAACAAACCTTTCAATCAGGCTCTGAATCAGACCTCTGGCATCGACCTATAAGCCCACACATTACATAAAAGCAAGTGACTTAGATGAGTCCAGCAGCTGGACTATTCCTACTCTTGGATATAAATTTCCTGATAAATGAAGATCAGGGTAGATTTGATGTGAGGAGAGTGAGGGATTAGGAGAAAAATGTGGAGGTGATGAAGAGCTAAATGCCAACCAGTTTGTCACCTGTGATATCTTACTTAACTGTGTGGGCTCCTCTTGGTTTGAAAAAAATAAGTTTCCTTGACAAGTGTAGGGGCGCCTGGCCAGCTCAGTCAGTTGAGTTTCCGGCTCTTGATTTTGGCTCAGGTTGTGATCTCACCGTTCATGCGTTCATGCCCCACATTGGGCTCTGCAAACTCTACTTGGGATTCTCTGTCTCTCCTTCTCTCTCTTCCCCTCACATGCTCTCTATATCAAAATAAATAAATAAACTTTTAAAGAGAAAAAAAGAAGTGCCACTAACTGGTATGACCAATAGCCCAAGAGCTAATAAAAGTAATCTTCCTAACTTGGGCCACCTCCTTTCTACCAAACTTAGCACCAACATATGATCATATAAACAAGAATGAAGTGATATTTATGGGTAATAAAATCTGCTCTGAAAAATATTTTGGGGGAATATGTTGGGAGTCAGTATGGAATGTATTCAAATGCAAGCTGTGTGACAGTTCAACTTATGAAAACTCAGACCCCTTTAGAACTCCAAGTGCTTTGGGATCGTATATAAATAAATGAATAAATGAATGAGTGAATGATGTGAGAAAGGAAATATAAAAATGTTTCCTCAAATTTTAATTCCTTCCTAAATAAAATAAATTAGTAAAATTCAATAATTCATTTTTGTTTTCTTAAATAAAAATAATATGATGGATTTAAAATTCCTGATCAAACTGAAAGATAATAAAATGAAATATACTAGCCCAGAATAAAATAATCATTAGAATAATGTCCTTCCCAAGGCATCTGGGTGGCTCAGTTGGTTAAGAATCTGACTTCTGCTCAGGTCATGATCTCACAGTTCATGAGTTTGAGCCCAATATCAGGCTCTCTGCTCTCAGCACAAAGCTTTCTTTGGATCTTCTGTTCTCTTCTCTTTCTCTGCCCCTGTTCCTGCTCTCTGTCTCTCTCAAAGTTCAAACTTAATTATTATCTATATTTTGAATCAAAATATATCACAAATATTTTTTAATTTGGGAAAATAAGCAAATATAACCAAGTATAATAATAAACCCAGCATGATCTCCTATATTTCATTAGGCTGATATGGCACTAATATTGGTGAAGAACGCAAATTACATCTACAATTTGCTAAGACTGCTGATCACATTCTCCCTGTTATACATGCACATAAATTCCCTTGAAATCAACAACCAACCATTTTAACATAAAGAAAAGTAACTTGATTTATTAACAACGGTAAGACATTTTACTATAATAAACTAGGCAGTCTGTAGAAATAGATGATTTAAGTTAGAACAACCCCCTTTACTTAATCATAAAGATGAACTGAACATATATATTGGATGATAAATCTACACCTCTGAATGGAATGAAGTAAGTTACTTGAGGATGGGGCCCTGAATTAGAAAGCTCTAAGTGGGATTTACACTAAAATAAATAGGAAGATATTAGATGCATATTCGCTGAATTCAGCAAAAGTCTGTTTTTTTCCTCCCCCAGAAATAAAGTGCTATATTAGATAATATCTTTCAAGTGTAAGCAGCATATTTGGGAAACTATTTTTAAATAGCATGACATTTGTGAAACAGGGTCACATGTAGTATCAGCTTTTCATTTCCAGCTTTCTCTAAGCATTGCATTCCAAACACAGCCACTCACCGCTTCCCCGTGTCTGCCGTAATCTCCCCCCATTGTGTTCTGCCGTTACCTAGTCAGTATCCTTTTATTCCAGACTTCTCAACGTGATTTTCTGACCCTTTATATAGGTGTTCTGTCTTTTTTTTCCCCTCATTCCTAGAGGCACCCCTTGCCTTTTCTCTGCAAAATTAGATTCTCCAGTACACTGTAACCATCTCTTTCCACATATAGTGAACTTCTCTCACACAATTATCCTTTGCACTTATGGCTTGAAAATCTGTTTCTTTTCCTCTTTCTATTGTCATCTTAAAAGCTCATGCACACTATAATATCTAGTTGAGAAAAAGACAAATCTCATGTATTGTATTATTTAGGGATATCCATAAAAAATGGGTGAAATTATAAAGAAAAACAAGGAAACAGTAATGATAAAGTAAGAGTAGAAGTAACTTTTTAGAAGTATAAGGGAAAGGTCAACTTCTGGGGTACTGGCTATGTTCTTTATCAGAGGATAGCTAACCTGGTGTTTGTTTGTTTTACAAGATACATATCATTAAGGCTGCCAGATAAAATACGGTATAGAATTGTGAATTTCAGGGTGCCCGGGTGGCTTAGTGAGTTAAGCATCAGACTGTTGATTTCGGCTCAGGTCATGATCTTGGTGACAGCATGGAGATTGCTTGGGATTCTCTTTTTCTCTGCCCCTTGCCTGCTTGTGCTCTCTCTCTCTATCTCTCTCAAAATAAATAAACACTAAAAAATAAATATGAATTTGAAATAAATATATATATGTCTGTAGGTGTATATTCGGTGTGTATGTGAATATGTAGCATAAGTATGTCACATGCTATACATAAAAATTTTGTTTCTATATATATATATTTATCTATGTATATACATATATGTACATTATGTACACACATATACGTGTCCTACATGCCATTTGAATGTACTTCTTTGATTATTATACTTTAAAGAATGTTAATAGCAATGAACCTAGTAACTGCTATCATAAAACCTAGAATACCAGCTGACTGAGAACATTCTGTAGAGCTGAAGTAAAGAATATTGGATCTAATAGCACAAAATAGAAGTGAAGTAATTCTATTTAGTAATGGCTTCCTATCATCAAATAGAAAGATGTGAAAATACTGAGAAACAGCCAAAGGAAAGTGCCCAAGACCCATTTACATCATTTCATCTAATGGTTGTGGCATTATTGATAATAATCCACATGCCCAACTGGTCACTCGGTTCCCTGTTCTGTGTTTTTTTTAAAAAAACAAAATGGGATATGGTAATGGAAACTCATCCCCTTTGGTGTGAGAAATCTCAGATTACAGTCTAGGTGCTTCCACCAGTCACTTGTGCGATCTTAGACTTGGATCTTAGTCATCCATGTAATTTCTCTTGAGCCTCAGTTTCCTTGAGGAAACCCACAGTTTGCCATGAGGATTAAATTACAAAGTTATATAAAAAAAAAAAATGGGCAATGTGAAAAATTCCTATGAAATAAAAGTTAGGTACAAATAAACTAACGTCTTGTACAGCTTGATAGATATATGCAGTTATGGATGTCTGATGATATTATTCTAAAGGGTAATAGACAAGAGAGATCAACCATGTAAAATATCCCTGCTTTGATTTCCTACAAAGCATCAAAAGTCAAGGGTTTAAGGTAGGGGTTCCCTCTTCCCATTTAACAGAAACTGAAAAATCTTTCCTTTAGTGTATATACCTAGAAGGATTAAGAATCCATAGATAGAACAACATACACCATTATTCTTCCAGCCAAAATTCCATTTTGCTCTTTCCTCCTCTGTTTCCCTCAGTGTGAAGACCAGATGGTTAGCCCACAGTGAACTAAGAATCCTAAACACATAACAAATGTGAATGTTACGTTTTTCTAGAGAAGATCAGTGATTCTCAATGCTTTAAAGGGATATTTTTATTTTATTTTTTACATTCCTTGAGATGATAAAAAAACAAAACAAACAAACAAACACTTCAAATGTTTTCCAGAGAGTGCAGAGATCAGGGTTGTGTTACAATGCACGCCTAAACAAAATGTAGTTGGTGACATTGCTGATGTCAAGTCTACAAGAATTTCCTTCCTTTCTTCTAACTCTTCATCCTCTTTCCATTTTTCTTCAGCAATTGTAGTACTTTTTATCACCCTGAGACGCAGCAAAAAAGAGCCCCTGATCATTTCAGAGGAGGACGTGCGAGAGAATGTGGTCACCTATGATGACGAGGGGGGCGGGGAGGAAGACACCGAGGCCTTTGACATCACAGCCTTGAGGAACCCTTCTGCCGCCGAGGAGCTCAAGTATCGGAGAGATATTCGACCCGAAGTGAAACTCACCCCCAGACACCAGACATTGTCCACCCTAGAAAGTATAGATGTTCAGGAATTTATTAAGCAAAAACTGGCAGAAGCCGACCTAGACCCCAGCGTCCCCCCTTATGACTCTCTTCAGACTTATGCCTACGAAGGTCAGAGATCGGAGGCTGGCTCCATCAGCTCACTGGATTCAGCAACCACACAGTCAGACCAGGATTATCACTACCTTGGAGACTGGGGACCCGAATTTAAAAAGTTAGCCGAACTCTATGGAGAAATAGAATCTGAAAGAACAACTTAGGGGGTTAATTCTGGCAAACCTTCTAGAATTTGCTTCCTGAGCAAGTGGAGATATAACCTCAGCAATGGCAAGGAAGACACATGGAAACAGTACTTGGAACTGAGCAAGCTGGCCACAGCTACTGTAGAAACAAGTGCCCTTTTCATGATCGAAACGGGGTCATTTAATCAGAAGAGAGTCAAATTAAAAAAAAATATATACAGAGAAAAAGCTATTGTTCCTTGTGTATATTTTCAATTGTTCAATAAAGTCTGTGGTACTGTTTAATTTAAGAATACCTGAATGAAGCCAAACAATGAAGTTTGTTTCAATATCTTGTGATTTCTTTTCAAAGGCAAAACTAAACCCAAAGGGTCCAAATCACTTAGGACTAGGGGTGGTATGCTGAGAAATGAAGCTTGTGCAGGTAATCGGGACCTTGTTTTCCACTTCTCTGTGTGGACTCTTGAGACCCACACTCTGTTACTGTGCAAGATCTTATTAGCATCGTGTTGTGTTCAAATGCCATGAGGTTTATCCAGTATACCGGGTCCCGCCACCATGGACTTGTATGCACCATTTTCCTTTGCCCTCCCCACTTCTTTTCTCCATATGAAATCGATGGAACATGGGGACTTGCTGCTTGCTCTCTAATGTATGCAATTTCTGTGCACCACTTGTGCACTGCTCTGAAGACAGAGACCACTGTCTCTGTCCTGCCTGCCCTCCTTTATTTTCACAAAAGAACCCCGCCCTTGTTGTGTTTGTTTGTTTGTTTTTAATCGATAGAATGAATGGTTTCAGTAAGATATACTCCGATAATCTGATATGTCAGGGAAAGGTTTAATTTAAAAAAATAGTCACACACCTTATCCTACATAAAACATTGGAAAACTCGATTATTTTTTCCAGTCCTTTTGCTTTCGTACATTGAACTCCGCGGTTTGGATCATTCCGATACCTAAAATTAGCTGTTGGACATTTTGCTGGTTGGTTTAGACGTCGGTTTCATTTGCTTATTTGTATGCACCTCACATGGTAGCAATGTAATCTGAAAAGATGATACTCCAATTTGAGTAATTCTTACAGACTTTGGATCGGCTGACCTTTATTCCTTACACACGTTCAGATTCTCCCTGTCTCACTGACTGCTTAGCTCTTACCTGTTTGGGATCTACGGCAAAATGTATAAAACTGAAGGCAAAAATACAGCAGCTTCACAGTTACTATCCTTGGAAAAGTACCTCAAAGTCTCTGAGCTTCAGGGTCCCAAACTGCAAAGCAGAGATGGTAAAGACTTCCTGACTCTCTCCCGGGCTTGTGTGGGGATCAATAAGCATCTGTAAAAATGCTTTGCGCACTGCAAAGCGTTCTATTGTGTAAAGGCTTGCAGGCGCTATCTGATTTTCTAATTCTATTAGCTTATAAATATATAGTTCCATACATTTGAATAAAATATTATATTATCGTGAGAGAATTTCATAAGACTTTCAACAGTGAAGCAACTGCTAGCTAAACATATAATACGCAAGTTTAATTATTTTGGTATTTTCCCAAATAAACTAATTTTCTTCAATTTTCTCGTTTTTTTTTTCTCTAAAATTGTTTAGATAATATTTTGCTGTTGTTGCTAAGCATAATGGTCCTATCCTCCAGACATGACCATATTTATATATTGCAGATAGATTGGAATTTTGAAACCCACAAATTACGAATTATCGCAAAGAGGAATCTGTCCTTTGCTCTTTGAAATTTATCAAAATCTAGCGTCCTCAAAGTTACATGGCATTTTCTGTCTGATTCTACCTATGTGCAAAATTTAAATTTTGCCTCTGTTTGCAACTGCCCTGTGCTATCATATTTCAGTTTTGAGGTGTGGGAAGTGAGTTTAACTTGAATAATTCTGTGTTCTAAGCCTGAGGAATAAAATTGAATTTAAGTTTTTTACAACATTTTAGCTTTCCAGATGCTGCTTTATCATTTTTTATATAGTAATGGTGTGATTTCTGGTATAAAACTGTATCAGAAGAAACACTCAGGGGCTTTGGGGAATAAGCTCTGGAGATACATACTCTGATGACACTGATATTGGACTACATTCACCATGAAAGTAGGGTACCCCTTTGGAGAACTACTATGGATTCGGGTGTTAGGACTTTCCTATATGCAAAGAGAAGCTGGAAGGTCAGGTTTTGGAACTGCATTGCATTAGGCTTTGGATTTAGATCTTTGATAAAGTATTCACAACCTTTATTTTGCTTTGTTTTGTTTGATTTTGGTTTGTTTTCTCAATATTCACCTGGTAACTTTACAGATGGGGGTTTGAAAGATGAAAATGTATATGTACGTTTAACCACTTACATAAAAGCCAAGGTCCTCTGCATGGTTTTGGGTACTAAAATACTTTCCAGATTTTGTGGGGGGAAAAAAAGCAACTCAGTTCCATCTAATTTTATTTATTTGTTTGTTTCATTGTTTTTAAAGTTTTTTTTTTTTTTTTTTAATTTATTTTGAGGTAGAGCATGGGCAGGGAAGGGGCAGAGAGGAAGGGAGGGAGAGACAGAATCCCAACCAGGCTCTGCACTGTGAGTGCAGAGCCCAGTGCAAGGCTTGAACTCATGAAACGTGAGATCATGACATGAACTGAAATCCAGAGTCAGATGCTTAAATGACTGAGCCACCCAGGCGCCCCAGATCCATATAATTTTAATTGCACATTATAATGATAATGGATTTCTTCTGAGCTCCTATGTAATATTAAATCTAATATGGAGGTAAAATAGAGCTTCTGTAGCCCTGAGATACTATGTTTCTCTGTTGATTTATTCTAGAATTTTGTTACTGTAAGCATTCCAAGTGTATATTTTATATGAACTCTGAAATCAGGCAATTATATCATTATGAATTAGATCTCATTTTTTTCTGCTAGTTTGAGATAAGAAAAAAATGATATATAAATGCTCTGCAAATAGACTTAAATAATTTTAACAATATCTTGCTTTAAAAACTCCAGTTTGTCAGTGTCAGAAGAAAATTCTCAATGACGTTACTGTGCAAAGAGTTTGCATATGAACTCTGAGTATTTAGTAGCCACAGAAAGTTAGCTATGAATCATATGTGACTCCATATAGAATCAGCTATGGAATCACTCATGTATCTTGAAAAACACATTTTGTAAGCCTTAGTTGCTATTTACACATCTAAATAAAATATAGCTTTGAAATCAATTTACTTATTTCTACTAAAATAATTTTCTACACAGACCCTATACAAAACGGTGGCTACTAATTAGAGAATTATATAAACAATTATAATAATTTTTATCCAAGGTGTTTTTTATGAGAATTTTTAAATTCCAGATAGTCTTTGTGCAAACACTGGAAAATTAATAGCTCTTTCAGGAATCACTAAAGATGTATCGTCAGAAATTCTTTCTATAAGAAATCTGTACAAACACAGATTTGAGGTGGAGATTGACAACAAAATTATCCTTAAAATAAGGCTCTATAAAAAATTAACTTATGACCTTTCTTTAACCTGGTTAAAAGAAGAAAAATATTCTGAGGGAAATTGCATTCACATAATCACACACACACACTCACACACACGCACACACACACAATATGGCTTCTTGAAAAATATTTGGAGAGTAAAAGAATATTCAAAGTAGTGACTTGGATATTGATGTGATCCAAATATGTGATGTATATAGAAAATTTTAGTACTCAACATGTGAACAATTGGCCTTTATTTTGTGTCCAGTCTTGGGCTAACCTTTTAGTACTGTCAATGATTAGGGCTGATTCACAAGGGTGTTTACACAGAGCAGACAAAATTGTTCTAAATCAAAATTTTATAGGGGCGCCTGGGTGGCGCAGTCGGTTAAGCGTCCGACTTCAGCCAGGTCACGATCTCGCGGTCCGTGAGTTCGAGCCCCGCATCAGGCTCTGGGCTGATGGCTCAGAGCCTGGAGCCTGTTTCCGATTCTGTGTCTCCATCTCTCTCTGCCCCTCCCCCGTTCATGCTCTGTCTCTCTCTGTCCCAAAAATAAATAAAACGTTGAAAAAAAAATTTAAATCAAAATTTTATAAGTGATGATTTAATGGACACAGTGCAGCCATTACACATTAGCAAATGCTTTCTGATATTTTGTATACCACCATGTAGTCAGAAATATGGGTTGAAAGGGGAAGGTATATTGAGTCCACCATTTTTAGCAGTGTAGAAAGCTTCAAAACAATTACTCAGTGTTAAATTTGTTCTTACAGACCTGCGTAGGTTTGATTTGTTGTCTCCTTTTTGGTTTAGTTGAATATATAGAGAAAACAAACTGGAATTCAGATAGATTCATTCATTTCAACAGCTATCAAGAAGTGCCAGTTAAGTAATAGGTATAGTGGAACACACATGTATCCGATATTTTGGGGTAAGTAGTCTTTGCTTTTTAGTACGGACAGTGCTTGATTAGCTATTTAAGAAATTAGAACTCTAAAGCTGATTATTCTGGAAAGAGGAAAGAGTCCCATATTTCAAACTCAAATTGTACTTAGCTTCAAGGTATGATAACATTCAATTAACTCACTTGGCTTTCAATTTCAAGAACAGAACAAATCTCAGAATAGTTCTTGGGAGATATGCAACTCAAATTCAAACTTTCTCTCTCTCTCTCTTCTTTTTCTCTCTCTCTCTCTCTCCCCCCCCTCTCTTTTATCCCTTAGGATTAAAGGCAAATTAAATATTATCTGAGAGAAACAAAACTATTTCAACTTTTATTTTCCACCTCATCTGCAGAAGGTAAATCTTTTTGCAACGTAAATTTAGAAATCTTCTAAACCCTGGAGCCAAAAGTAGCTCACAACCATTTGAAGATAAAACCACCACAGAAGCCACTCTTTTCCACAGATTCCAAATACATCATTTTTAAATGAAAATTCAGCGCTCTTTAACATGTGAAAAGATGTATTCTTAACTTTTACTTATATCAGTGAAAGATGTAGTTTTGTTGTTGTTTTTTAAATAAGGAAGAGATCAGAGGGAAACAGAACACATTCTTCTTTGAAGCATTAATACAGGGGGGAAAAAGTGCTCTTAGGCTAGTAAGGCATGATTACATTTATCTACTTACTGAGTCTACAAAAGGAAGGGTCTTTACCCTTCAACACTACAAAGACATCAAACCTATTTTAGTAATGATTCATTTTTAAAGTCTTAGGTGAGAGTGAATGGAGAAAATAGGCATTTAAGGACTCTCAAAATTATATCCTGTGAGGAAGGCATGTGCCATTTACAGATTAACGTGGGTTCACCAAATGGTCTAGTCTTATTGCTCAGCAATATTAGCTTTGGAAGGAAGAAAATGGGCCATAATAGTTAGTGTCACCCAAATAATTTCATCAAGGCAATTTTTCACATGTCAAATGCATCAAATTCTTACTCTAAATCATCTACTATCATTTTCAAAGTGCTTTTCAAATGTCTTAGTTTCAAACAGAAATTCACTCGATCTAACATTTATTAATTAAGTTCATCTAATGATGCAGTACATGTAAGATACTATTCCAGGCACTGAAAAAGATGTAATATATATGAACATTATATATATGTATATAATATATATATATATAATATATATATATATATATATCTTGATGGTATGTTTTATCAGCAATGAAATTAGAGTCTCTCTTGAGAGTTAAGGCTGACATATAAAAAGCTATAGACAATATAATATAAAGCAAAAAGTAGCAAGTGTTCTAAAAGAGTCTTGAACACCATACTAGGGAAGTTCCCAGGATCACTCTGAAAGTGTGTCAATACTGTGCAATACTGGGAGCACTCTCTATAGGACACGAAAATGATATAGGGCAAGGGGGGAGTAGAATAGAGGGGACAGCTTATACAAATGTACAAAGGTAGATTATTCTATATGGAATAGAGGATTCATTCAGGGAAATAATGATAATGCAAGATGTTATGAAAACTTGGATTTAGATTTAAGGTAATTGAATGAAATCTACTCATTAAGCAATGTCATTGAGTTTATTTTCCCCCCAAACAGAACAGTGATGGTGGCCAGATTTCTCTTTTAGGTATCTGAGTCTTTTATTAACATCTATGATTCAGTGAAGATATATTAAAGAAAGATTCTATAGTTATGTATACCAGCAGAAGAAATATTAGACCGACTTAACTCATTTCCAAAGGATGATTACTTATTTTAGGAATATACTTCAGAAAAAAATTCATAGGTGATGTACATTGTAGGTTTGATTGTTGGAGTCATTTTATCAATTTATTCATTATAATACAAATAAATTAAAATGAGGGCAAGAAATATTTCTGAGGGCAATATTTATTCATATAAATTTGTTCTTAACTGGATAAATGTACCATTATAATCATTGTTTTAGGTAGAAAAATATTTCAAGGAAAAAAAATAATATCCAAATACCAAAGACTGAACAGAGGCCTTATTAAAACTACCAGTTATTGTTTAATAATTATTTTTAATACCTAACAAAAGATGTCACATGCTCTAGGGTTTCATAATATAAAAATTTCCATTTGGATTTATTTTTAAAAGGTGGCTATCATTCAACAGAAAGATTCAATAATTTGTTAATATCACAGGTAGACTTAGCCTGAAAGCCCACCTTTTATACCTTCTATTTCTCACTTTTTCTTCCTTCACATTTACTTGCCTTTTTTTTTACGACCACTGAGTAGCTGTGTTTGAGCAATTTCTATATTTCATGTATTTTTCAGAACAAATTCAAGAAAATGTTTTTCAGAAATAGAAAGTAGTTATCATGTTATTTTCAGGGCTTTGATTTTCAATGCATTTTCTCCCCCTCTGTCACTAATCATGCTCTTCCTCACCAAAAAGTAATAAACGAAAATTGCATTCAGAAAAATACTCTGTGAAAATAACTTTTTGAGCTTGAGGTTTCAT